AAAAGTTATTATAGCAGTTCGGTAAGTGTAATTACCAAAAACAATGTAGTAGCCAACTCAAGAAACTGATTCAAACTCTAGATGAATCTATTACTACTACGTCAACAGTAAGAAAACATGGTATCTTTGTTGCTTTCAAAGTTAAAAAAAAAAGTCCATCTTGATTCTTGATTACTAAAATATCCGAATAATAATGGCAAAACCTGTCTCTCAAATCCTAATACCAGATTAATCACTCCCCTAAGAAGAAGAATTAGAGAGATTTATTCCACACCTTTAAATATGGAAAATGGAAATGGAAACAATTTTCTTGTATACAGACCATTTTCCAAATTTTACCATATATTTACAGAAACTACTATTCTTTTATATTATGTTAATTACCACATTTTTAAGTATGCCAAAATCTATGGTACATTTCTTTCTTTGACATATAGTTAGAAGCCCATGAACTCTTCAACCAAATCCCTATATGGAATACTCCTACAAGGTTAAAAAAAGATAATCTATAGTTTACATAGTGTAACATTCAATTTATTTCATCATATTATATACTTGTACAAAGTTAAATGTGTGATTTTAGAGTTTAATATTTTTTATATTTATTACATGTTTTTAATCGATATCGACATGTTTCTGTCTGTATAATTCCGTTTCCGGCTTTCCGATATTTTGAATTTCGTTTGTATTTCTAGCTGTACGGTTTTCAACTCTATTTTTCGAGAAAAATGTGATTATGGAAATGGTTGAAACGTTTTCGGACCGTTTTCAACCCTATCGGGATGAACCCCTCTCTCCATCTCCCATGCAAACATTAAGTACACAAATAAAATAGTTTCAGCGAAAAATGAAGGGAATCATGCAGTAACCCATACTCCTATGCCAGATTCATAAGTTGTTCGGGAAGCACACGGCCTCCGAGGTTTAATACATGTAACCTGATGTAATTCAGCAACATTGGGATTGCCACACATTCGTTTCTCAGTAAAATACTCCAGAGAGCTAGAATACCTTGATTCTCTTTGCCGACTGTGTTCATCGTTTTGACGTTTATCATTTGTTTATGTGCCACATAAGAGCGACGACCCTCACTATAAAAATGTTGCAATTGATCTGGCTATTAATTCACTGGTGCTACGGGTTTCCGACATAATTCTGAGATGATGAGAAAACGGATTAAAATAACTTTGTCGACAATGAGGAGATGCCGTACTCCTGTCTTTGGTCGGCGCAACAGGATAGACCGATCAATAAGAGTCATGTAGCTCCTCCTATCCACAACAAGCAGCTGAAGAAAACCAGAGTTTGTTAGACTGTTACAAGTCAGGGTCATCTCGTCGTCTAAAATTAGCTGAACAACCCCATCTGTCCGAAAGAACGCCTGAAACAAGCAAATGATGTGTGCACAGGAGATAGGACCAAATGGTTAAGTATCTTGGATGTGTGGCGGTACTTTTAACAAAAGCACAAATCACGGTAGCTTTCGGTCTTGGATTCTGCGGGAAAGAAGAGGAGACATGCATGCATGTCAGCATGTGGGGCTGAATCGCTGAGAAAGGGGGAGAGGAAAGGGCCATGCTCATCTACTGATCTATACTACATGTGAGCTTGCCCGATCTGATTCGCTAGGAGAACAGATGGAAGGCCTGGTATGCACAGCAACAATAATAGATCCTTTCTTAATTACTCCCTCCATACTAGTAAAGAAAGTAGTTTATAACAGCGACACGGTCTCCAAAACACAACTTTGACTTATTGTTTCTATAAAAATATTTATTGAAAAGTGATATATGTATACTTTTATGAAAGTATTTTTCAAGATAAATCTATACATATAATTTATATTTTCAAACTCAACAACTTAAGAGTTTTTCATGATTTATATTCCTCAGTTTTGACTTAAACATTGTTTTAAACGACTTTTTTTTATGAGTATAGTGGGAGTACGTGTCGACAGAAGAGACAAGTTCAAGTTTGAAGAACTCAGGCTATAGGCCGGGCAGCTGAGACCAAATTAATCAAGTTCAGACTGAAGAATTCGCAACAAGGACAAATAAGGTTCATGACATGAAGATACATAAAGGCCAATTTCAATTTTTTTCTTCAAGTTTCTAACTTTTTCGTCACATCGAACTTTTCTACACACACAAACTTTCAACTTTTCCATCACATCGAACTTTCCTACACATATAAATTTTTAACTTTTTCGTCACATCATAGAAAAGTTAAAAATTTAAAGAAAAAAGTTGGAATCTAAATAGAGCATAAACACAGCCTTAAGTTCCAGTTCTAGCTAAAGCCTCAGGTACGGGTCATATCCACTTGCCCTGAAAAGTCAGAACATCGCATTCGATCAATACAAGTTAGCGCGTAAATTTAGCTGAACTCTCTTGGGGGTTAACCGGGTAAGCGACAAGTTAACCATAGCCGCACATGAAGTCTCAGATCTCCGCAGGGGGGAAGGAGCCGAGCCGAGCGAACACACACAGCACCGAATTTCCTCGTTTTTCCCTACCCGTCGCACTCGTGCCCAACCCAACGCGTACGTAGCTGTAGCGGGGTGGCTGTCTGGCTGAGCTACCAACAAGCCAGTGCAAGTGGGGGATCGGTTTTGTCCTGTCATTTATATATATGTAAGCATCCAGCCTGAGATTTGGGTGACGCTAGCTGATCGCTGACTGCTACCGTGATATTTATCACGCAATTGGGGATCCAAGCACATTAACAACTATAGACGACAACCCCGATATGCATGGCTCATTGTTATATTGCTATTTGTCACCTTCGATCCATCGATCATGCGGTGTTTGTATGTAAGGCTTTCTTACCCCCATAGATTTGCTGCTCAATTTGACTTGACCAGCTCTGGTGTGTGAGATCCAATCCGGACAACGGGACATGCATGCATATGCACCCATGGGTGAGTGCTCTTTTTTCTTCTGGGACATGTCAGGGTGGGGGCAAATTAAAGGAGATGGAGATCGAGCCGGTCGGCCTTTACCGGGAGAGGGCTTGGAGCTGGAGGACGCTTTTGATGCCACGCCACAAGTTGCGAATGCGTAAATGGGCTTCAAAGCAAAGCGCGCGGGAATGCCGGATCGAGCACGGCGCGGATGGGATAAACAACACAGCAGCCTCGATCGCCGGGGGGCGGGGTATCGCGGTTTTCGCCCTTCTTTTCTGACGCGATCAGAGCGGCTACAATAGCACTATTAACCAGCTGTAAACATATTTTAATAAGATAAAAGATGATAGATAAGAGCAGCAGGCTACAGATCTGTAGCCAGCTGCAGCACGGACTCTACGACACAATGTGTGTATGATAGGTGAGACCATATATTAGTAGTATAGTAAGCAACTATTGTATTAATTGACTATTAGATTAACTATAAATGAATTGGAGCCAGTAGTGGGATATTTTATTAAACTTGCTCTCAGTCGATCTAATCTTTGCCGGGTCGAGCAGACGAGTACCGTGTATGTAGATGCAGTCAACGGAGAGTTTTATGCTACGCAAATGGCAGTATAAATACATCGGAGGAGATTCCAGCGCCCAGTTTATGATTCTAGAGTGAGAAAAATATGTTACATGGTCCCGTTAGCTAGCTTAGTTATATATCCAGTGCCAGTATATGTCGTTGACAATGTTGTAAAAAAATACCATTGTCAAGGGCAAACCGCAAACAGTGTCGTGCCGCATCCATTGCTGGAGAAAGGGTTTTTACCCACGGTTCGCAACCCCCCTATATCATGAATCCGAGACTAAAATGCCCATCTTTAATTTCGGTTAAAATAATCGGCACTAAAGATTCATCTTTATTCCCGGTTGCACGGAACTAAAGAGGAGAATCTTTATGGGTAACGCCAGTTTTTTTTTCAATTGTTATTTGAATATTGATTTCACGCCAAACTCACCAAACTCATCAAAATCACAAAATCATCATAAATTCCAAATCGAGTTGCTCCCTACATCTCCAAATCAAAGTAACAACATCACAAATCATAAGATTCATGTCAAAAATTATCAAAAAAATACATCACAAATTCTAAAAAAAATTACATCACATATCAAATAACACAGATCCAATGAATCACAAATTCTTTTTTAAAAAACAAAGAAACCCCCAAATCGAGTCCTCCACTTGCCGCAAGCCGTCGTCGCCTCCCCAGCCCGACGGCCGCCGTCGACCCCGCCCGGCGGCTGCTGCCCCTTCTCCCGTCGACTCCGCTGTAGAAGATATGTGGATGAGGAAAGAGAGAGTACAGAGTCAGCGAGAGAAATGGCGAGAGAAGATATGTGGATGAGGACGTCTCGATCTGTCTAGCGCTAAGAGATAAGGATGAGGAAATCTAAGTATGTAGTCTCTGGTTCGATCTATTTAACACATGGGAGGGAGATATTTAGTCTCGGTTAGTGATATCAACCGGGACTAAAGATCATATAGTCCCCGTGTACTTTTAAATCGGGACTAAAAATAGTTTCTAGTCCAAGTTTTTAGTTGAACCAGGACTATTGTAGATTTTGGCCAACCTATAAAAGATAGTTTCTCTAGTAGTTGTGATCACATGCATATAAGGGTTGCAGTTGTTCGTAAGATACACGGTGTTACTTCGCAAAGAAAAGCAAATGCTCATGTATTGATGTACGTAAGCAACATGTTCACAAAAATGATGAAAGCATAGCAAGAGCTGTCTCGAGCGTTGTCATTGTAAGATGCCAGCTTTTCTCAAAACTTGCATTAATTTGGAGTGCACAATACTGGATTGAAATAAAGAATCAAATCTGTTTATTATATATATTCTTTTCCTTGTCTTTTTGGAGGCAGATGCAACCATCTATATATCCTCAGCTATGGCGGAGATTTAACAACCCAAACTGTTGAGTTTAGGAAAAAAAATCAAATGGGAAATAGAAATGGGCCAGTGTGTGGGCGAGCGCGCCTTGCGGGCCACGAAACCGTGAACGACATGTTCCGGCCTGCCCACGAGTCCCGCACTAATCGATGTACCCCTTCGTCTCGGCCCGCCGCCGCCTCCTCCGCTCGAGCCGCACCGCGCAGCCGCCGGCCCAAACCCTATGGCTCGCAAAGCGCGACCCGCGGAGCCTCCTACACCGGGGCGGAAGGGCAGGAAACCTCTCCCCTCCCACGCGCCGCCGACCGAAGCCGCCGCCGCCGCCGCCACCGCCGCCGCCTCTCCAGCCGCAGCCACCGCCTCTCCAGCCGCAGACGCCATGGAGGCCGAAGCGGGCGGCGTGGCCATCGTGTACGACGCGCTCCCGGGGCTGACACTGGCGTTCTCGCCGGAGGAGGAGGAGCACCTAGAGGGTGCGACTGCCGACCTAGGCGGCGCGTCGACCTCCGCCTCGGCTGCGGTGGTGGAGGAGGTGGAGGACGCCACCGCGGCCTACTCCGTGTTCCGCAACGAGATCACGGCGGCTGGGGACGCGCTCGTCGATATCCCCGCGGCGGATTTCTTCTCCCTCGACGTGTCGGCGGCAGTTGAAGACGAGCCGGCCACCCCGCGTGCGTTGTCGCCGCAGCCTGCTCCGGAGGCGACGCTATCGGGTTCTCTAGCTCCCGCTGAGCAGCCAGCGCAGGGGTCGGAGCGCGCGTGGTTTCGGGGAGGGAGGCGGTTCAGGAGCCCTATGCTGCAGCTTCACAAAGGTGGGGATAATTTTGGCTTTGCCATTTGTTAGTTTGAATGTTGGAAAAGAACACGATTTGTAAATTGATTTGATCAGCTTAGAGATAGTTCAATTCGAATTTTAGCTTGGGTAGGCAATGGACTTGTTTCAATGGGCACAGATTATGCGAATAGTTTGGAACTGATTTTAGTTTGGTTCTGAAATCTTCTCAGTTCAGCCTAGGTGGAGATTGATATTTTTTTAATTGTATTTTGATATCAAGCTACTCGCGATATGCTCTTTCATGACACTCTTGAAGTGTTGCCTGGAAACTATGGTGTTATAAACTTGGGAGTGTCCACATGGTGTTAATAAGCTTGAGTCAGTTTATATGGTTTCAGGCTGGACATTTTGACTGACGCAATACTGACATATTGTCTATTTCTTACAGAGATTCTTGACTTCTGTGACTTTATATCACCTTCTGCTGAAGAACAATCTTCACGAACAGCTGCTGTGAAAGCTGTCTCCAATGTTATCAAACATATATGGCCTCAATGCAAGGCATAGTAACACACATTGTCCCTCTCTTGCCATGTGCGCACGCATTTGATCAGCATTAGCTGCAAGTCATTTGGTAATTCTCGTTTTGCATTGCAGGTGGAGGTCTTCGGATCTTTTAGAACAGGGCTGTTTTTACCAACAAGTGATATCGATGTAAGGGATTTTCTTTTTGTGCTCTCCAGTGGATTTTTGAGCATTTAACTTGCTGTTCTGTTGAGTTGTATGATCCCCTGGAGCATAACATTTACTTTGATAGCAATGCTGGAATCGTCATACTTAACATTTTGATGGATGAAATAGCAATACAGGAGAAAAAGAGTAAACACAGAAGGAAGGTGTAGCTCAGCATGCACTTTCTGTTTTCCTGTTTTGCAGAACAGGGAGGAAAAAATGGGATGTATATAATTAGCAATGTTTACTCAGTTTTCCTGGAGTAAAGTATGAAATATGTTTCTCCAGAGTGATTTTCACCCTTAATTGCATTGTTAGCTACTTCCACTTTCATATCAAAGGGATACCCTTCTTCTGCTATTCTATGATTATGATTAGAAGAAAACCGTGATGCATAGCCTGTTACAGACGTGTTAAGTGTTAACCCCTACTTTTCACCTGGGAACAATGAAATACGAATACATGGAAAATGTACCCTATTTTGGGAAACTCTCTCCTTTATCTGTGAGTTTATACATGGTTTTGTGATGCAGGTTGTAATATTTGACTCCAGGGTTAAGACTCCACAAGTTGGCCTGTATGCTCTTGCAAAAGCATTGTCTCAGAAAGGGGTTGCTAAAAAGATACAGGTCCATTTTTCACTCTATTTAACTCTAGTTTGCAACACTTGGTATTTGCAAGACTTTTTCTTTTATTTTGTTAAAGAATTACTCAAAACAAAGCCAAAGAGACAAAAATGCATTTTTTTTCCAATGAAGGAAAAGTCAATTTTCTGTCCAACTGAAATATGCATGACGGATAAATAGCTACCTTGAAAGAGACCAAATCCCACTGTTTAAACTTTCACTCTGTGCTGCAGTTGTCAGTTGTTATTGTCAATCAAGTAGATTCCAGCTTACTTATTTTTCTGGTGGACCATTTTTTTTTTCTTTCATGGCAGGTAATAGCAAAGGCCCGTGTGCCAATTGTGAAGTTCGTGGAGAGAAAAAGTGAAATAGCTTTTGACATAAGGTTAAATTGTGTTTCTCATCAAATATTCCTTTGTTTCTAGTTTTTTGCGGGAATGCTTATCGAATAATTTCCCTTTTTCTTTTTCCAGTTTTGACATGGATGGTGGACCACAAGCAGCAGACTTCATCAAGGTACTTTGTGCAGACAAATTGGCTAATTACTTCACTGGCAGCGTGTGTTCGTGAAGCTAATTCGTGGGGCAAATGATTGCATATATTTTGAACATCATTTTTACTCTGTACTGCAGGATTATGTGAAGAAGTTTCCTGCTTTAAGACATCTGTGTATGATTCTGAAAGTTTTTTTACACCAAAGAGAGCTTAATGAGGTACAATTACTTAAAACTATTAGTCGTTCCATTCTAATAATAGATTGTTTGTAATTATGGCATTTCTAGATTTCCAATTACCATTTCACTCTTTTTGGTAGGTCTATACGGGTGGAATTGGTTCATATGCTCTTCTCACTATGCTCATCACACATTTACAGGTAAAGCTGAGTCTGTTTTGTACTCTAACGTGATAATGGCCTTTTTTTGTATACCTGAATTGATTTGAGTTATAATTCCTTAAAAAATGGTTGAAAGGTACACATTGTGTTTTTCCTGACATTTAAGATTTTTCTTATAAATACTTAAGACACCTAACAAACATAAATTTGGGTTGTTTATACACTGCATCGCTAATTTGTTCACTGATTCAGTCTACCATATATTACTTACTATGGATAACTGAACTTTAGTGCTAAGTGTTCTTTTTGTTAGTTGATCTGGGGAGGCAAAGATATACTGGGGTATCGTAAAAAGGAGCACAATTTGGGGATTCTTTTGGTAAGCAATACTTGTTTTAAATGTTTAACAGTAATGCAATGTTTTACATTACAATGCTTTGACTTCCGTTGCATGTAAAGTTCCATTGGAAATATTCATTTCATCGTGGTATTAACCATAATGCATATTACATACTGCTTCCGACCATATCGTTCTCAGTATACACTTTTTTACGTTGTCTTTGCTAATGGAAAGGACATGCATTCTCTTTATAATTAAGGGGGCATGACACATGATTGCAGCTCTTTATAGTTATTTTTCCCCTTCATGGCAGATCGCATTATTTGATTTTTATGGACGCAAGTTGAACAATTGGGATGTTGGAATATCCTGCAATTCTGCTAGGACCTTTTTCTTGAAGACTGATAAAAAGTAAGGTGTTTACTAGCGGGCTTAGACCAAATGAATATACAATAAAATTATCATCTTCTTAGTATTTTGTTCAACTGAAAAAAAAGGATAATTTTTTCAGTATTCTTGTGTATTGCTGTAGAACAAGAATATCTCATTTGCTTCTAACTAGGCCATTCTGTTAAACACTTAAAACTGTTGAAAATCTGCTCTGTAAAGATTTATAGGTGAAATGTCATTATATAACTGAAAGAAAATTTGATGCGGGTGCAACTGTTTGAGTTGCTAAAATTTTGACTTTGTTGTATAAGCCATGGAACTTGTTTACTGATCCTGTTTGTGTCTCTCTGCTTTTCAAGCTTTGCAAATCCTGATCGAGCATACCTTCTAGCTATTCAAGATCCTATGGTATGATCTTTGGCCCTTTCCTTTTAGTCTTGGTTAGCTTTAACATCTCCAGCTTCAATGGATTTACCTATTGTTTTTCTTATGGCCTAGGTACCAGATAATGATATTGGGAAGAACTCATTTAACTATTTCAAGGTATTATTTCTTACAATGTTGTTTGTGCTGTGGTTGTGATACTTGAAGTATTACTCGTTTACTGTTTCATAATAATATATGCAAGCAATATCGATGAAAGTGTTCCTATCTTATAATGAGCCTGTTACTTTGCTCTCAATGCCAGTTTCCTGGGTATGGTGCTTACATGGTATTTCATAGCAATTTTGCTAGGTTATACTTGTGTTATTTGAGCAATGTTCCGTGGTACTCTGTAATGGTTTGGTACCCTGTCACTGTCAGTATAGTATTTTGTTCAGTGATAGAGTGATAGTCCATGTTCTGTTAAGGGTAATCAATCTGAGGTTATCTAAGGGCACTAACAGTTATGTCCTCAAGTTGTCACCTGTCCTGTTCCTTTTTTGCCACTGTTGCACGTTCGTTACCAAAGTTCTTCAGGTTTTCGGACCAAGTTTCTTGAAACCATAAGAGGTGGTGAAACTGGAACATGGTATAAACTAGTACCCTTTTTCTGTTACCAGAACTAGTTATCTTCTTTAGTTTGAAACCCGAAGCTTTTGCATATCTGGATTCTGGAGTTAGTGATATAACTACTGGAATTTCAAATGTTGTGGACCTTCGTGGTATAGATGTTGGTCCAAATGGGAGGTTTAAGTAGGGTGGTATGGCCAATGGTCCAATCTTAGTTTACAGAATAAGTGAACTTCCTAGAATTTGCAACATATAGTTATTGGACATTGATGTTTGAAGTGTGCTGTCACATTATCTATCACGCCACTTCTATGTGAGCTTTTGGCATGTTTATGAAAAACTATAAATGCAAAAAATCTGATTGAGTAATATTTTTTTTTGACTAACTGATTGAGTAATATTTGTTAACTGCTGCAGGTGAAATCAGCATTTTCAAAGGCTTATTCTGTGTTAACCGATGCGAACTTGATAACAAGCTTGGGGCCCAATAGGAGCATTCTGGGTACCATTGTCAGACCAGACTCCGTGCTCCTAGACCGGAAAGGCTGGAACAAGGACGCTACAATACCTGACATGTTAACAGAACCCTGGGAACCATTACCCCGTCAGTTTGATAGCGATAATGATGCAGTCTATAATTGGCATGTGATAGATGATGAACCACTGCCCAGGAATACTCGATCCTCATCGGAGGACACAAGGCCATCACCTACACAAAAAAGGAAGTCTTCCAAACCAAAACAGAGATCGCGGAAAAAGGCCAAGGCTGATTCTTCGAGTGGTAACAATGCTGAAAATGGTTTCAAGCGGGGGAAAGGATTAGCACAATGTGATAGATCGCATCAAAGTGCAGGAAGCAGCAGACGGAGCAAAGGGCCGAGAGAGTATGACAGATTTACAAATACCCTCCCACAATATACTCAGCACATTAGTAGGTGGTGACTTTAGGCTGTTACTGATAGCATTTACAGTACAGTTCGGGATTGGGAGATCCCACGAGGTTTTGACAGGCAGAATGGCGCCTTGGCAGACGTCGAAGTTCAAGCAGCTTTCTGTAGCCATATGTATGATTTATTATTTATTTGTTTGTCTAAGGTTATTCGGTCCTTTGTAACGCCGATGAAACCGATATATTCAGTTATATTATCATCGTATGAACTGCAATTTCGCCAACTTGTCTATGGCAAAGTTTCAGACTATTAAAAATTATCTTTGGCTGGAACGTGAATTCATAATTCATAACAAGACGTCACTTCGGTGACATCCGATAAAAATAATTCATAACAAGACGCCTTGAAAGGTTTAAGTTTTATTAAACGAAAGAGGAACATAATTTAGATTGTCGCAGCTACCAATCACACTAAATACATGATTGGAAGTTAAATAAAATCAAGCTTATAGTCGAATGAAATAAAAAGGTTCCACCTTCTTTTCCCAGTTTAGAACTGAACAAGTAAACAGCTTTGTTTACCGTTACCACAACGACACTGCAAGCTTAATACAGCTAGCTACCGTCTTTTACTCGTCTTTCTTCTGTGCGAATCCTGGGGGAAAGGACTCCAGCCTTTTCTATTCCGCTCAAAAGAATAAGGAAATATAACGAGAATTGTATATGAGGAATACAGGATAATCAGCTATCAAGCACTTTGTGTTCAAATATCAAGCCTCTTATACCTCTGCTCTATTTTCCTTTCGAGAGCTGCTCCTATGTTTTTTCCATAGTATAACGGAAAAAAAAGGTCAATCAACAATATGACAGGTTAAATAAACATTGAAAGTAAAAATGCAAAACAAAAGAAGCTAATAAACCGATATTGTAAGGCCACCCAACAAACAGCTGACAGGATCAAGATGGTGTAAACTCGTCAAATATATTCATACCGCAAAGACATAAGTTTACCAGGTTACAAGCAGGTATGTCCATTAAAAGTGAGGACATATGCTAGCATCATCACTTAACTAATCTACCATTCTTATTCAGATTGACCCTTCAGCTGAAAAAAAGTAGAAGGATTTGCACCAATCTGCTGGCTAATTAAAAAAAAAGGAAGCCAGATTGAAGTGGCCTTATGGAGAGCTGATAAGCTTCCAGTCCATATTAGAAGTGGAGATCCTTTGTGAGACCAGTGAAACATCTCAATATGACTGGTTCATTCTGCACTAACCTGACCATTCTCGTGGGGATGTAACATTGCTACCTGCATTGAGCTTATCAGCCATGGCAACAGAGTCTGCAGGTTGGGCTGCAGTTACCACTGGGAGAGCTACGCTCTCAACTCGATCCCGTGGATACCCTACCACACTAGCTGTTTCAAACATATTTCCAAATGGCTGATTATGCACGACTTGTGGTCCCAAATGATGAAATGCCATCGGACCACTCGCTGGATGCTGAGGCAGAACAGCAACAACAGTAGCAGCACAGTTAGAAGGATTCTTGAATGTGGCGCTGTAGGATTGGCCACTACCTTGAACGGCATAGGATGCCACACTACAGTGGTTGGGCTTGCTTGGTTGAGGTGGGCATGAGCTCAGGCCGTGTTGCTGCAATGGTTGTGGCTGCTGATGCTGGATGTTAAGGTCTGTCGATGGAAGCAAAACTGTATTGCCTTGGCCATAAAAAGAAGGCATGGCTTCATGATGCTTCTGCTGAGGTGAAGAGTATGGCGAGTGCACAACCATGTTTCTCAGAAGTGGCTCCGTTGTAGCACTGGCAGGCTTCTGAGAAGAGTATGGAGGATACAAGACAGCGACTTGAGGAGCACTTTGAGCCTGAGGAGATGATGTTTGCTGTTGAACTAGCTGTGGTGGAACTTGCTGAATATTGTATTGCTGCGGTTGCACCACAAGGGGCTGTGTTCGCCATGCTTGTGACTCAACCTGCTGAGCAGGCAGATGTAGCCTTTGGTCCTGGGGTTGAGGGTACAATTCTGTCACCTGGCTAGATTTCTGAGATAGGTCAACTGCAACCCTGGCTTCAGGATTCTGGATTTGTGACTGAATAACATGTACCGCGGATTCTGATGGTTCACTCTCTGTGCACTTAATAGGATTTTGGCTTTGCATATAATACACGGCAGCTTGACTCGGCTGCTGCTGATCTGGTTGTGTGCTCAAAGAGACAGGCACTAGTTGCTGCAAAATATAACCATTGCTGCTTTGGACTGGCACAGCAGGAGATTGCATTGCATTAACTTGCTGAAGTGGCATGAAAGCAACCTCATGTTTTGCAACTTGTGTGCTGTGATCATTTTCCCTTCCGAATGTTGAGAAAGCAGAGGCTTCATTTGCTCTAGCAGGGAACTCATGCGCTATTTGAAGTTTGGAGAACTCGTTCGGTGTCTCTGAAATCTCATGCTTATCCTGCAGAATCTGCACAGATTTTTGAACCTGTTCGCCAGAAGAAAAGATTTCAGTGTGTTACAAAATGATCTGAATCTCACGAGAACAGCAAGTCGTTGAATCCATTGAATTCAATCGTAACAACTTGTGAAAAAAATTGCACTGACTCCTTAAGCACGAGTGAAAAAAGAAACAAATTTTGAAACGTAAATGGCACTGTTAACAACTACAACCACAAGCTCAAGCTTCAAATCTGAACATTGCATCAAAAAGTTGCAAGCCATGGATTAATTAATTAATTTTTAAACAGCTTTATTACTTTACCGTGCGAGATGGATCAATGCGAGTAATTCGAAAACATCGAACAGTTTGGGTGCAAGTAATTCCGTTGACCGTGCAAGAACGTGCATGGATCTAGAGCCAGAGCACCCACCTGCCTCAGATTCTTCTCCAGGCACCGGAAGTTGACCGTCCCCTCGCTGTGGTAATCCATGACGTCGCTGCGCAGCTCCCCGATGGACCTCTCGAGCTTGTAGCAGTAGAGCTCCAGCTGCGACAGGCGGCCGCCGATTCCCTCGAGCGAATGCAGCAAGCCCTCGGCCTGCTTCTTCATGCACTCCTCCACGGCCGCCATGACCGCCTCCTTGGTGTAGTTCTCCTGCCCACCGTACACGTTCACGAACGTCCTCACCATCCTCTTCTCCTGCTGCAAATCCTGCCCCCATTCCCCCCCAAACACACACGCACAGCATCATCAGAAACCCCGGACAACACAGTCGGGAAACCGGAAAAGCTTTCGGGGCTCCTGCTACCTCCGGGCGGCGGCGCGACTGGTCGAAGGAGCAGCGGGCGGCGGCGGGGTCGGCGGGGAGGCCGAACGCGCCGGAGACGGAGGCGGCGGCGGGGCGCGCGGGGGACGCCATGGTCGGCGCGGGCGGGAGGTAGCTAGGGTTTTTGGCCTGGCGGGAGGAGACGAGACGGTGGAGGTGGAGGAGGAGGGAGTCAGGAATCCGAGGCGGAGGAAGGGGCGAGGAAAGTGAGAACCGAGCTGGGCGCGGGGCGCAGTGTGGCTCACTGGCTGTCTCTGTGGAGTGGAAGCCAAGCACCAAAAAGCAGAGCAGGAGTAGTAGTTGTAGTAAAACAGAGAGAGAGAGAGAGAGAGAGAGAGAGAGGGGTAATCAGATCCGGTGAAAAATAAAAAGTGTAAAGTAAAGAGAAGCGGAAGCAGAGGAGGGAAGCAAAGCGGAAGGGGTTGGTTCGCCGGGTTCGAGGCGTTTGGGAGGAATAAAAATGGGGGCGGAACGGAACGCGTGGGTTGGTGGGGTTGTGTGGACTCCCGGGGCTCCCGTTGCACGAGACGAGAGAGAGACCCACTTGGGGCGTCGAAATCCGCGGTTGTCTCCCCGTGAGATCCATGGGATTCAGTGGCAGACGCCACTCTCCTACGGTCGCTTGTTCGCAGCCTCGCTCCGCGGCCTCCGCCCGTCGACAGGTCGAGCCGGGAGTTCCCGCGCGGTTTGGGGTTGGGTTTGGATTGGGTCGGCTGCGGTGCGGCGTCACTATCCTCCTGAACCATGTGCGCGATTAGAAAACAGCGGGTAGCGTGCGTGCAGCGTCCGCGCTCCGTGTCATGCATCGCGCGGGTGTGTAACTGTGTATGGGCAACGACGTGATGTCTACGTACCGAGCGGTCGTCTCCCATCGGTGTCGAGATGGTTGGGGAGGTGTGTTGTGGCTTGTGGGTGGCAGGTGGGACACATCCACGACTCCACCGCCGTTCACTCGGTGCACGTTTGGCACAAGCACAACCCAAGGCGCAGGTCGATCTCGCAATCTGCCGAGCCGATGATGGTTGCCTGCCGATCGAGGACCGTGGCCAGATTCTCCCCGTAGGCCCATCCATCCACCGAGATAAGGGTAATGACGAGAGGGACGCAATCGTCTGTACGAGTACAAGGGAGGGGAGGATAGCGGCGGTGCGGCAAGTGTTGTGGGGAGGCGACAAGGAGGCAAGGACGGAACCGGATAAGGCCGACCCAAGTCAAGTTGCGATTATGTTGATAGTAGTTGGGTTTTTTTTACGCTCTCGCCAAACCCAGTATGCTCCTTCCGTTTCGTATGATTTTCTTTTCTAATCAAATTTTATTAAGTTTGACTAAATTTATAGAAATAACTAACGATATTAAACACCAAATTAATTTTATTAAATCTAGCATTGAATATATTTTAATAATATGTTTATTTTGTGTAAAAAATACTACAATATTTTTTTATAAACTTAGTTCAACATAAAGAAATTCGATTAAGAAAAAAAATCAAAATAACATATATAATATAAAATGTAGGGAATACTTGATAAGCCGTAGGCATCGTGAGGTACGTTGAGTGGAGTTTGTGCGTCTACATTGTACGGAGTATACTTGCCTAGTATACAAACAATGCTTTTTTTTAAGTAAATGTAAGTTAATTGGTTAGAATTTTTATGGTGTAATTAGACTACCCGAATTTAAATCCTAGATTTATCACGAGCGACTGCATTTGTGGCTAATTATTATTTCAGACACTCGTTACCAGTTAGGCGACCGTAATGATTTTGTCAATTTCAAGATATATTGGTCTAGTTTTCTGGAGATACTCGTAGGGGTCAGGTGCGCGTGTGTACGCACGTTATAAGCTCCTGTGTTACTAAGGGACCAAAACATTCAAATTTTTTCATCCTTTAGATCCAACACCGACATCATTGCTAGCAAACCCACGGAGAGTAGAAATATAATAAGGATTATCCCAAAAATTAGGCAAACAATAGGGGTCTAATGGTGTAGCTACACACTATACTTACTTTGTAAGGGGGGTTTAGATCTAAGGGTGTAAAGTTTTGGCGTGTCA